TTCTCAGACTCACGGACATGCGTGACCAATCGCGTTAAGGTTGGCCAAAAACGACAAAGAAAAAAAAACAGAAATGTATATAAAATAAAAGGGTTGCCGGGCAGTAGATACAATTAAAATTTCGCTGCAAATGTGCCATGAAAATGCAATCCCAGGGTGGGGCCCACATCGTTAGATTTTACGATGCGGCTTTCCAAAAAAAAGAAATGGAAAAATCCTACCCCAATTCAATTTCCTAGTTCCGATTGCCTCCGGTATTTCCTAATTGAATTGAAGTGGTGGTGGCATAGGCAGACATTCCCCAAATAAAACCCAACTTTGGCTGATTCAGAGTATCAGTTGCCGTTTATACAAAATATGTATGTGTATCCACCAGTTCATAAACAGCTCCCCTCCAGGCCCCCCCCTGCCATACCCAACGAATGGCTTGTTTTGCATGTTAACAAGATACTTCCGCTCGAATGGCACTTGGAGTACGCTCCTGTTTTGTCGGCAGCCCAAATGTCTGGGCACGAATGAAAACGTAATGAAATTTCCCCATTTTCGTATGTCACAGGTAGCTATGAGGTATTTTCATTGCATAATTAACCCACCCAGTGAGAGCTGGGCCACCCACCCATATCCACACTCCTTAAGCTCAAAGTCTTTAGAGGTTTCTAGTTTATTAATTTTAGAAACTATAAATAGAGTAATAGTCCAGACCATAGTTTTATAGAGACAAAAGCCTTTAATGCTTTTCCTCACACTTTCCTTTGTCTTGGCCAGCTAAAAACCCTAAAACTTTTAATCTTATGATGGCCATAAAGATTCGTCTCCTGTTTCACACTCAACTCCCATCAAAAGCCTAAATAAAGACTCAATAATCAAGCCGAGATCATCCTCATTTGCTCAATCGAACCGAAGACTGTGCTGAAATTATCGCAGATTCCACTCACATCTCCCACGCCGTATTTTCAAGATACTCAACCTAAAGTTCTTTATTTTTATTTTTATTTTAGTTTTATTTTTTTTTGTGATTTGTTGGTGATTGTCTGGGCGAAGGCGTAATGAGGCAACTCCACTCGCTGAGCAGCAATGTCAAATACGCAGATCTCTTCATGCGATTGGCGCTACGTGGGTGGTCTCTTATAGGCAGTGCCACACCCACACATGAGTGCGGATCAATAAAAGAGGCTTCATGAACCTTTGGTTGGTGTTCTTTTGATTTGCATGATGCCCCAGCCCAGAAACTCATTAGAAACTCTTGTAAATGCTCGTAAATCTCGATCTAGTTTTGGGCCACACCGCCTCTTCTGTTTTCCTCTGAACGCATTTCGTTGTAAGTTGGTGTTTCATTAATAATCCGAAACCGAAAGAGGCAACAGCTCTGCGGACCGGACGGCGGGACTCCCTTCATAAATCTTGTGTCGCATAATTACAGTTAAAATTTATAAGCTTATCTCCTTAGCCGCAAATTTATTGGCGAGTCCAGCGTCCAACGCTTCAGTGTTAAGCGCGGAGCGTCCGTCAAGTCCCTGAATATGGTTCACTGTACAGTGGAACAAAAAGCTTAAAACCTAAGATGATTACATGAACTTTACATTACAAACATTTTAATATATTTTGTACTTATTTTGAATATGTAAAGCTTTTATGACATATTTAATAAACTTCTATATTATACCCTAATATCCCTATATTGGTTACAGTGTCTTCTCCAAAGCCAAGTTCCCGTTCTCGTTCCGGTCACCCGATGGCTGGCTTCGTTTTGGTTCCTTTTGGCTTCGCTCATTAAACGGTCTCCAAGTATCGGCTAAAAAATGTGTATTTAAAACGGCGTGAAAACAATTTGTTGCCAATTTTATGACGCCTCGCCGAACCCCCGTTTTTCTGCGACGTCCCTGGATGTGCAACAAACAAATTCATTTGAAGTCTGTGGTCTTTGGGTACTAAGTGTCAACCCCATAGATTTATGCGTATTGTCTTTTTTTCGGGTTACTTGCGCTGACTGGCTGGTTGGCTGGTTGGATGGCATTCCGGGAACGGACTCTGGACGCTGGATTCTCCTCCTGGTAACTGGTAACTCCAAAGCCTCGACTTTAACTCTCCTCGCCAAGGCTGCGAGCTGCCAGACATTAATCATTTGGGGGTTCCAGCCGTTTGCGGCAGCATTCGAGGCGTTGTAATGTGTGCCGAAACCCCCATGGCAGCCAATGGGTTAAGGGGCAGCTTTCAGGAAGGACGAAGTCGCAGGACAGCGGGATTAATGTACGCGGACAAGGTATTTGAATGGGCCTTTTTATGGTCACATTTATTGAATTTATAACGTAATATACTCGCACCCATGACTCATGACGAGATCTTCACTTTGCACCCCAAAAACAAAAAAAAGTTCAAGTTCTGGAATCGAATTCTGAATCCAAATCCAGTTTCTCCTTTTGCAAAACAGAAAACGAACGAATGCCACAGAGAGCTATAAAAAATTATGCTTAAACAAAATACTCGCATCTATAAATTCAACAAAATATTACTAAACTTAAATTGACTTTTTATGAAGTTATATCTTCCTCGGACGCGTGCCATAAAAAATCACTTAAGCCACGCAAAACGCTCCCACGCACAGTGGAGCTTCGCAAATAAAGTGCAATACGTAATAACGTTACGTGGTAGTATCACTTCGCTTTGTTCGATCCACAAACAAATGTCACTCCATCGAAGTGAAACCCAAAACCGAACCGTAAATCATTCACGGTGAATTAAGACGTTTTTTTTTATTTAAACATATACGTATATATGTATGGATATACTGATATATATTTCGCGCACATTCGAAGGCAATGTTGAATTTGTTGCTTTTTTATTTAATATTGTTTTTTTTTAGTGACGTTGTTGGTGTTATTGTCAGTTGAGCACAAAGTTAAGAGCCAAAAGCCACAAATTAAATGTATTCCACAGTCGTATATACTAAACTTGTTATACATTTTGTTTATGGCTTAGAAAATGAAACTTAAGTGGTAATTAGTAGAAAAAAATAACACATTTTAAAATGAAATATATTTCAGTTTGGACCTGGTCTATAGATCTCATTTACCCCTAAAAGTTGAACAACTTTTAAAGCACATCTAATTTAAGGAGATTAAGTATGAGATAAATTAGAAAATTACACATTTCGTTCTGTACATATGAACCATCTATATAGGTTCATATTGTAATTTTTTATGAAAAATAATTTTAAAAAGTTGTTGGAAAATATTTAGAAAGCAGTTTTGGAAAGGAAATTAAATTAGGTAAAGTATTGGCCCACAAATGGAATCATATACTGTTTGTATTAAAAACAAGAAAGGAAAGCTAACTTCGGGCGGAGCCGAAGTTGATATACCCTTGCAGCTAAAACCGGATATATATCGCAAACATCGGATATAGTTGGCCGATCCTTATGGGAATATGAATATATAATCAATTTATTACAATACAAAATCTAAAAAAAGTCTCAAGCTTCTATCTTCAAAAATACCAAAGTTGGTATTTCTACCAAAAACCATTTCCGATCGTACAGTTATATGTCAGCTATAAGATATAGTCAACCGATCGTTATGAAATTTGGTAGATCGGATGAACTGACCAAAAATAGAATGTGTACCAAGTGCCAGCTTTCTATCATCAAAAACACGAAAGTTGGGTCATTTCCGATCGTTCAGTTATATGGCAGCTATAGGATATAGTCGGCCGATCCTTATGAAATTTGGCATGTCGTATTAGGTTGCCAAAAAAAGCTCTCACCTAAAATTTCCGACTTATATACTGCGTGCAAAGGAAAGAAGGATGTGTGCAAAGTTTCAAGACGATAGCTTTAAAACTGAGAGACTAGTTTGCGTAGAAACAGACAGACGGACAGACAGACGGACAGACAGACGGACAGACGGACAGACGGACATGCTCATATCAACTCAGGAGGTGATCCTGATCAAGAATATATATATTTTATAGGGTCGGAGATGTCTCCTTCACTGCGTTGCACACTTTTGACCAAAATTATAATACCCTCTGCAAGGGTATAAAAAGATCCAGTAAGAATCCAGTAATCCTTCCTTCGAAGAATACTTCTAACACAGTAAGAAGTAAATTATTTTTAAACATACTCAACAAAATATTAAAAAAAATTTAAAAAAAAAAACAAAAACATTAAAAAAGCATTTATTTTTTAAATAATTCAAACAATATTTATAATCTTCATTATCACTTCTTTTAGTCTTACATAATTTTGCAGTTGTCTTTGAGCTTTTGTGATCCACTGTAGTGCTGCCCCCTTCACCGGCCCTTGCCACCTTAACCCCCTTGCTGCAATGACAGACACATTTAACACCTACACGATGTTGACGCTGCACTTCAAAAAAAAAAACTTAAAAAAAAGGTGAAAAAAAAGCTGAAAAAAATCCCAGCTTAGGTCTGCAAAGGCAGCGCCGTCGCTTTGACGCCGCTTTGGCCGTCAAGGTGTCAATTTTTGCCGTTGGCATACTCGCACACACTCATACCCACACACACCTTCCACAGCACACACAGATACACACGCACACCCAGATACCTGTGGATACTGTAGATATTTGACGACTGTATGCAAATTTAATGGCTAAATTAGAGGAAGGAGAGAGAGAAACCAAACAAAAAATAAAACAAAAAATAAAAAACAAACTAAAGAAGGAGGGAATTTAATAATACCTACATATAATGTTAGGCATCGAGTCGGAGACGCCGTTTATTAGGCGTGATTATGCTCAACGATAGCATTTTCAAAATTCAATTTGCATAATGAATTTAATTCGAATGTAATTCCCGCAATTGCTGCGGCCAAATCGGTGCTTGATCTTTTGATCTGCTGGCGCATTGTTAATTGAGTAATTAATGCCGACGCCCACGGAGAATGGAAATGGTTATGGTTATAGGCGATCTGATGATATAGCGATATCTATACGTCGGGGACCACCCACCTGGCACGGCCTGGCCTGACTTGGCCGATTGGATCTGGCCCATAAACAGATATGGCAATCAAATTCAAATTATGCAAAATTCCTTCGATAACGACAGCAACAACACGCCGTGTATAATTTAAATGTTTATTAAATTATTTAGTTGTGAATTTATGAATCTATTATACAAAGAAAACACACACGCAACCTGAAAGATATGGTATTTCTTCACGGGGAATTCTTAGAGAGATTTCTTGGCCAGATTTCTTCCACCTGATGCTCTGTTGCGTGTGTGCTTGTTGGACTAGAATATGGTACAACTTAATCGTTTAGTATTTCTAGAATCTAATCTTACACGCTACTCCATAAATACTAAATCGTAGATATTGCTGGGGAAACCATCTTAGGTTGGTTCCTTCGAAGCCGCCTCCTGCAACTCCTGCAGCTCCTCCTCCTCGCGGGTCAGCGGCACTGTGGAGTGATTGTAGAGTCCTTGGGCCATCAGCTGCAGGGCCAGGGGGTTCTTGGTGCCACTGGACTTTTTCAGCTTGGCCCGCTTATTCTGGAACCAGATCTTGATTTGGGCTTCATTCAGGCCCAGCTCCCCGCTTAGCTGCTGGCGCCGCTTTTCCGTCAGGTAGCGGTTCTCATTAAACTCGTGCTGAATAAAAAGTGAAAATAATCCAAGGGAGAAAAAGGCTTTTAATTAAAATAATTACAAGTTTCAAGCTGAAAACCCTAACTGACCTACACGCATTACTCTCTTTTTAAAATTAATTTCGTTTAATTCGACTTTCACCTTACCTTCAGTCTGGCCAACTGCGTACCGCTGAAGGCCGTTCGAGGGCGTTTATCCTCGGCCGAGCCACCGTCTGCCGCCTCCCCCTTGTCGCCGCTACCGCCTCCTCCGCCCCCAGCCGCTGCACTGGATGACGCCGGCTTCTTGGGCTTGCGCGTCCGCGGACCTGCAATAAACGGTGTGGATATATAGTGTGAGGTGGGCACTGGGAAGATGGGGTCATAAAAATTCCAGGGAGAGCTTAATGGCACCAACATGACTGGACCTCAACCTGCCGACTGCCAACTCATCGGTCGGACATAAATCCTGCTCCTCATATATGCCCGACGATGGCCGGCAATTAATTCAAATTTAAATGCGTCCAGACAACCCCGGAGAAACGTCCTTCTGGATGGGTCCTTCACTGCCACTGCCACCCTCCTCCAAACAAAAACAGCGAAAACAATTAAAGTTTTTGGGTGGAAATTTTCCAGCGTCACTTTCAAAAAGTAATCAACGCAATGACTTTTGACTGTGGCTAATTTTCCCCATTGCTGTTGTTGCTCCTCCAACCCAAAAAGATATCCTGGCAAAGCACCCCAAACGACTTGAGTTGTCTTGGATTTAATTAACAGAATCCTGGGAGGACAGGCGGAGAGAATCGTCCCACTTGATGTGGGTTTCCAACTTCAAGGCGAAACAAATAAAATTCTATTCAGAATTTGGCAAAGAAAAAGGGGTGTGACAGAAGTGTTGCCTAAATAGTTGTGTAAACTTTAACCGAAATGGAAATGGAAAACGGCAGATATAGCAATTATGAGGTTTCACTAATGGGAATATTTTGGTCAGAAGGCAGAGGCGTCGTCAAGTGACCGCAAGATGTTCGAAAAGCCAGCCGAAATATGTGGCAAGTATTTTGTAATTTAAGAGTCTCATCTATCATAAGGCTTTAGGGATGTGTCTTGTGGATGGGACTTTAACTTGTAAGGAGTTTTTAAATAGACTTTCAGACCCACTTTTGATTATCCCATAAATACCATCAACCTGTGACCTCTATTACAAACACTTCCTGATTTCTTTTAGTTCCTTTTGGGCCATAAAACTTCAAGATATCGATTCCTGTTGTTGGGTGTCCTTTTTTTTACTTACTTCGACCTGAAAAGATACAAGAAAAAGTACAAGATTAGGTCAACTGTTTGTCGACAATTTAAAATTTAATTTAATTTTAACGCGAATCAATAAAATATCGGAAATTGATTAAATTCCACGACGTCAGCAAGACCCAGAGCCAGCCCAGAACTTTCCGATGGTGAAACGTGCAAAAATTCCCGACGACCCCACTTGGAAGACAGGGGGGGGGACTGAGGGGCGTCCCTGGGTTGAGCAACAACCTTCAAAACAAATGTAGCGGCACTAATGGCAACGCAACCAAGTCATGCCCTAAGTTAAATCGTTGGAAAAATTGAACAAATCAATTTTGTCAACAAAATGCCAAAGCTGCCGACGGGCGCGAAATTAAACCAAAATCTAAGGTCCCCCAGACTTCGGGTCTTCGGTGGGTGTTGGGTTGACAAGTGGGCGTGGCGGTTGTAAGGTGTTATCACGGTTTTAAATTTCACACGCAGCCGACAATAAAAACAAACTGAAACGGAGTAGCAGCCGGGGCAGCAGGAAGAAAAGTTGGACCTTGAACCTGTCAGACAGCCGGGAGACGATGACGACTCTGCTATGGTAAATTGCTCGTAGAAAATCCAAGTCATGGTGACCTCTACCCTCGAAAATAAACGAAAGAAAACATCAACCCACCACCCACACGCCCATTGGAAGTAAACGCATGTTGGCAGCCAGCAGATAAGGCAGCAACACGAGCTGCATGCCAAGGCGTCGCAAGGACATTGCCAAGGGGTTGGCCATTCTCTTGTATTTTCCCGTTTATAACCAAACGCCCCACAATGCAACAATTGCCAAAAGGACAAGGAATCTTTTCTGGAAATTTGTGATTTATAGCGTGCTAAATTTTTCACTGCCCTGCTGGGCAAATTTGACACAATAAAAGTTTGAAAGTCGTTTTTCCGGGTTCTGGTTTAAGGAGTAGCTTAAATTGGCTTTAATATAAATTATATGAACTTAATCAATGTTTAAGGGAGTGACTATGAGAAGGGGAGATTGTCATTAATTGTTAGGATTTAAAGGGCAGGATCTCTACTTTGTAAATTTTTAACGCCAAGCCCAGTCCTGGCCCAAATACTTGAGACAAAAAAGCAAACAAAACACCACATATCCAGTCCACATAAATTCTTGGTCATCAAAACAAAAAAACCCCAACAAGTTAAGAAAACAAAAACGGGAAGATGTCTTCATCATCAGCAGCAGCCTGAATGACCCAACTTGGCAGCAGCGAGCCAGCAAAAAGCCGGCTGCCTCTTCAACCGCCACTGGGGCATATGTTTAAAATAAACGCATTTGTTTTATTTATGCTTAACATGAGTTGCAAATGCCAAAAGCAGCAGTCGCGGCACAAAAGCACAAAATCACAAAAGGAATCTGGCTGGCCAGGTGAGTTGCCTTTTAGGCCTCGCAAATGAATGAACCTCTTCAGCCAGAGAGAGAGAGAGCGCAATTAAATTCAAAAGAATGAGTGAAGCTACCAAGTCCGAGCCAAAGGATCGGATACTGTATCTCGTAACTCACGCTCCTGCTCTGTAACTGCAACTGCAACTGCACTGAAATTGACTTATAAAGATCTCAAACTAACGGGCCACACACAGACCACTGCCAGATCGCGTCACAGGGGAGCCAGCCAACAGAAAGCAGATACAGATACAAATGAAGATACAGATACAGATGGAGCCGGTCTGGCGATCTCGAAAAGAACCAGTCAGATGAGCTTCTATTGCCGCGACGAGCTTCGATGTAAACTATCTGTTTCGTATCTGAGCTTAATGATCGCACATTCGTGGCCTGGGCCATTATTAATAAGCCATAAAAGACAACACATTGGTGGGGAAAATTACCATTTGAAAAGTGAAAGCTTGATTCGATGATTGATCGGTGGTTTTTGGGAATGATCGGGGATCACCGATTTACACACTTACGTAGTTCTAATCCCACGCAGAAAACCAACCTGGCAGACAGGCAAATTAACGCTGCGGTTTGATCAGCCGAGGAGACACTGATGAATATTGACATGACGACGCGTCGCTCATCGGTTTGATTGCACGTTTAATTGAAATGATTGACATCGACAGCGCAACACTAGCCAAAGAAACGAGCACCAAGCAAACCAGCAACATCAAAAGCAATGCAATATACAATCGCCGGATGACAAACGATGCCGATCACCGTCAATGCCCGTAAACTTCGTCAGCGTTTTGTCTATCGCTCAATCGATCGGGTTGGCTGATCAAAAATAGCCATACCACCTAGCCCCTACTCTATGTATGATCCAGCTTAACTAGCTTATCGCCAAAGGCTAGCAACAACATTCCATCGCATGATTTGCTCTCCTGCATGAAAATATTTTTAAGCATATTTCTTAATTGCTCTATCAGTGCGATGGCTATTGCTATTTTCTACCGCCTTCCCTGTCACAACACTATCTAGCTACCTCTGACTAATTTGCATATAGCCCTTTTGACGGCTTTGCATATGAAATTGCTGTTTGGCATATGAATGTGTCCTCGCGGCCCTTTCATCCATCCATCCAGGCGACTGCCAGGCCTGACTGCCAGGCTGAAGGTGTCAAAACATGTTGCTTAGAACTCAGCTTGAAGGCGGTAAGTGCCTCTGATTATAGCCTGGCCAACACTGGCTACTGCATCAACGCAATTCAAACTAATTCCGTGGCAACCTTTTACGCGCTCTCACACCCTGGCAGCGACTTAATACCCTGCCAGACATATCACTTACATCCATATAGCATTGATTGGAACCATGAGCCGAGATCCGAGATCCGAGAGCCGGTTGCCAGTTGCCAGTCTCTGACAAATTGCAAACCACATTTTCCGCTGATATTAGCAAACAATTTCATTAAGAAACTGTAATCAATCCGGCAGAGTTGAGCATCAGGTGGCCTGGCCTGCCTGGTGGCTGAAACTGGGATGGGATTGCGATTGCGATTGTTGGAGGCCTCAGGTACGACGACACTGATATGGCTGTATCTGTATCTGTTGCAGCCACTACAGTTTGTATCTCGTACTGAGCTCGCCTTAATAGACTCGTTGCTTTGGCTTTGTGCAATTGAGGTGTGAACATTTTACGCTTCTATGGATATTTCGACTAAATTAGTGCACTTTTATGGCTTCTCAATTAACGCAATCCTCAGTCTCAGTCTCGCATCTCGCATCTCAAATCACAGCTTTCAGCTCCAGTTTCTCCAATTAGATCAGTCAAAGTCTGAAATCAAGATTGAGATGGAGATTCCGAAGCTCGAACTGAGAGTGACTTTCACCCTAATGAACACATCAGTGGCAGGGACCACCCGAAACGAAAGGTATCCAAATAGTGTTTGTTTATTTTGTTGTTTTGTCGGTTGCGGTAGTCAGCGGGTTCTTTGGGGGGCCATAAAAATAAAATTAAATCGAAGAACGCTTCGATCTCTGAGGCGATCGACCGACCAATCAAGCAGCCCAGGCCACTAATGAATATTTAGATTGCTCCACGAAAAAGTCGAGAAAAAAGCAAAAAACTCTAAACTCGGTGCTTTGGCTCAGCGGCAGCCCCCAAATAATTTGTAGATCAATAAATGTTCGCTTTATGGCTCTATTAGCGGCGATAGCCCCGGACCTTCAACTCCAGGCCGCCAACATCGTGTGTGGCCCAAAAGGCAGGGTTGCCAGCGCATCGCCAAAACAAATATGCGAATAAGTGTGTTCACACCAGGGCGAAGCCAGCATTAACATCAATCTTCCACGGATCACCGCGATGCAAACCACTCGAGCCGGACCCACCAGATCCTCGGCCACCGATGCTCGTCTTTAAGATCAGCACCGCTTCATCATCAAGATGATGATTATGATGTTGGGCGGGCGAAGGCAGTGAGGCAGAAGATCCGAGACCCAGACCACCAGATCCCCAGATCCACAGATTCAGGGCTCAGGCAGAAGGTCCAGATATGCGTTTTTTTTCGTTGGATGTTGTGGATTAAGCTTAACAGACTTGGAAAGTCACCTACTTATTTATTGAAGAAATTCTAATGTTGTCTTAAAGCTATCCCGTTTTTTCTCAAGATTGTTTATAATTTTACAAAAAAAAGTACTTGACTCCAATTGTCTGCTATGCCTTGTTTCTGTTGCAGTAGGGTACCTGGCATGTTAAATCTGGAAATGTCTTAATAAAACAATTAATAGCACAGCTGAGCTCATACGATTTTTTCTTTTCATATTTTTTTGTTTCTTTGGGGCTTTACAAGCTCTGGATTACAGGAGCGTAGTCAGAGACAGGGGGAGACAGGACTTAAAAAAACAAAAGACATACCTATTTTTTCGAAAGATTGTCTTTCAAAATCTATGACCAAAAAATCGATGAGTTATGGCTTATAGTTTGGAAAACTATTTGTATCCTTATATAATGAATTATCCACTCCCTGGCGATTAGCTCCGCTCCTGATCCCAGTTTTTTATGGCAGTGCTTTTGTGGCAGACCCAAAGCCAGGTCCAGAGCCACGTCCAGAGCCAGAGCAAAGCGCAGGCCGATCGTTCGTATGTCGTGTACGTACTATAAAGTAATTGAAAAGCACAACAGATTGTTTTAAATATCAGCAGGGCGAGCCGCCCAGGTTGACCACCTGTGCGGTGGTGTTCACCATGGATTTATGACTCTTAGCCCGGCTCTCGGCTTTCGGCTCTCGGCTGTGGGCTCTTGGCTTTTAGCTTTTAGCCGTGCCTCTGATCTGGGCTCTCTTATTGACCAGGCCTGAGATCGAGACCGAGACCGAGACCAAGACCGACCCGGCAGCATAATCATCATAATCATCGGCGTCATCATCATCGTGCTCTTATGCTAATTTCGAAGACGACGACGTCGCTTTGGACTCTGCCATGTGGACCACACACGTCGCCAGCCGCCAGTGGACCCTCGTGGATCGATTCGCATGATCCCCCAAAGACCTTTATGGTCACCGAAATATCCAGAAAAAAAATAAAGAGTATTCGCCA